ACTGGCAGCCCAGTGCAGGAACCAGCTGGGCAGCTCCAGGGAAGCCCCCCGTGTCCTGGGGGGGTCTGAGGCTGTCAGGACGGGGGGCCGGGCTGTGCAAGGTGCACTTTGCTCCAGGACCTGCACTATGTGGGTGCAGGGCTGGTGGGCATGGACACGTAGCCCTGAACTGTGCATCCTAAAACTGCTGGTGTGTGGCTCAGGAAGCAGTCAGTGAGCAGATTTGCTGTCCCTGGGCTTATCCCTGATTGCCCTCTGCCAAGTGCCTGCAAGGGCAATGGGTGCTGGTGGGGTGAGCAGTGGGACATGGCAGTGGTGGGGAGCGGGACCCAGAGCCCTGCTGGCACCTGTGCTGCCGGTGTTTTGGGCTCCATCCTCCATGAGACTCCAACTCCTGCCCCTGCTGTGTGCCCAGCTCACCCCTGCCTGGGAAGTCCCTGCTTAATCTCAGCCTCCTGCTTTTAGTTATGGGGTCCAGTCACCTCAGGCCACCCCTCATAGTCAAGCTGCAAAGCACTGGGGATGTGTCCCAGACCCCATGACTGCAACCAGTTTGATATAAAACTCCACCCGCTAATTAAACTAACGAGGTCATGGACACCGTGTGCAGCCCTCCCTGAGGCTTCCTTCCCACCTCTGCCCCTTGCCCACCTCCGTGTGCTCCAATGGATGCAAGGGCTGGTGCCACAGCTCTCTGCACTTGTGGAAGGTCTTTGGTTATTTTGTCTGCTCTTTCCCCAGCTGAGTGCAAGCAAGCCGAATTCCAGTTTCTCTGTAATTGTTCTGTTATCTCCCCACTGGGGTCTGGTTTCACTCATGCTTTGAGTTGCTGTCTGCAATGAATGGATTTCTTCGTTATTAAGGGCTGTTCCAGAGCCATTCCTCCCGCTGCTTGTGTCTGACCTTTTCCACTTCCAGCACTGCTCTTGCTGCCCTCTGCGCTCCCCTCGGCCCCGAGCCCACTCACACCAAGTCCCTGCAGCTTGAGCCCCGAGACACACAGGGCAGAGGCTGCTGGCAAGCACCTGACAGCCCCCGACAGCCCCTGCACGCCTGGCTGACCACCAGCTGGCCTCGCAGCAGGGCACGGGGCAGTGCTGGCCCCGGGACTGGCCGGGCAGTGCAGTGGGGCTGTCCAGGAAGACGGAGAACTGCTGCTTGGGCTGATGGAGCACAGCTGTGGAGGTGAGGTGGAGAAGGGGAGCTGCCAAAGATGATGGGGACTGGGTGCCACATGGGGACTTGTCATCGGAATTTCTCCTGGTGGTTTTATTTTCCCCACGAGAGTGGCCAAACACTGGAGTAAGGGCCCAGAGAGGCAGTGGGATGTCCATCCTTGGAGGCATTTGGGACTGGAATGGACACAGCTCCAGTCTGACCGCGCTGAGCCTGCTCCGCCAGTGCAGCGGGGCTGGACCAGATGCCTCCATGAGCCCTGCCCAATCTCAGCTGCTGTCACTTGCTGGTGGCACACCCCTGAGAGGTGACGGTGGGGCACGCTGACTACCATGCCCACGGGGCTGAAGGCACTGTGAGATGGCGTTGCCGGGGCTGCCGGAGATGGGGCAATCCACAATGGAGGTTTGCAGGAACGGGGCTGGTCCTGCTGCCCATCCTGGCACAAACTCACGTTTCCTGAGGTCCTCTCCAACCCTTGGAGCTTTCTCCGTAGTGTGGCTTCCTGGGCCCTTCAGAGAACGTTTTCCACGGACCAGCAGTGTGCTCCTGGGGTCCAACGGCTTTGCTTAACTGCTCTGCATGGCAGCAGCACAGCCCCTCTGGACCCGCTGTCCCTGTTCCCCACCCTGGGGACGCTGCATGAGCCGGGACTCATCTCTGTGTCCTACTGCAGGTCCCTGTGCTGCTCCATAGGTTGGGGCAGGGCTGGTGTGACATTGCTTGGGACACTGGGATGCGTGTGCCTGCTAATCTTCAGGGCCATCAGACCAGGCACTGAACCAAAATCCCACTCTAATTGGCCTCGTCCAGTAATTTTTTCTGACAAAACAATTAAGTTTCTCAGGCAAGAGATGTTCTTTGCAAACAGGCCATGCCAGATGCTTTTGCTTTTTTTATCTGTGGTATTTAAGGATCTTTTCCTAATACTCACCCATTATTTTATGAGGCACAGACCGGTTCTGACTGCCCTTTTGAAGCTGAGTATCACACTCATGCTCATTTGTTGTCTCAGGGCTTCCCTAGCTCTACGCAAAGGCTTTTTTTTTTTCTCTTTTTTCTTTTTTATTTTCTTCCCCAAATTGTTTTAAATAAACATTCTTGATTCAGAGAGGGCTGGGCCCTGCGAGACAGGGCAGGGAGCGGGACCAGCTCCAGCCCTCCAGGCTGCCGAGGCTGCGTGCACCGCGGCAGGGCTGAGGTCAAAGCTGGAAAATCTTGCACGAGGGGCCTGGCCAAGAGCCTGGCTCCTCTGGGGGATGCCGCTGTGTGGAAAATGTGGTCTGGGGCAGCCAAAATGTCTGTGCATGGGCTGGCGCTGCCCATGGTTCCCACTTGCTGCTGCTGGTCTCCATATCTGGGAGTTTTATGGCGCTTACCTTCTTGCCGCTGACTTTCAGTGGCTTCAGCCACCCTTTGGGGCAGCCTGTCCTTGGCTTTCCCAGCCCTGTGTGCTTGCCTGTCAATGTGCTGGGATCGTGATGAGCTGCCCGTCAGAGCACTGCCAACGCCTGCCCTTCCAAGGGCCCTTCTCCCACTGCTCATCACCAGTGGTGTTTGCCCCCAGTCCCCACGCACAGCCCAGTCCCAGCACCATTCTTCCTGATCCCTGAAAAGGGGGGACGGGTCTGGGGGGTGCAGCCTCAGGGCAGGCACCCCAGGAAGGGATGCAGAGGCTGGCATCTCTTGGAAAGGGCACATCAGTGGAGCAAGACAGAGCATCAGAATGGGATGTGCTGGGTTTTGGGGTGAATCTGTGCTAGTGTGATGGTCTCAGTGAGGTCTGCAGGGCATCAGGACTGGGTAAGCCCTAGTGTGCCTTGTGACAACTCCGACGTCCTGTTCAGTGGCTCCAGCACTGCCGGCTGCTTGTTGTAGAAGATTTGGGGTGGGGTGGGTGCTGCTGGAGCAGAACAGCTGATGTCCCCAGTGTTACCTCGCTCAGGCACTGCAGGAACCCTGGACTGAGGTGGTGCTGCCTGGTGATGTGAGGGGCAGGTGGCTGGCAGCAGGAGCTCTGACAGAGACGGTGCCTGCGCCCACTGGGTGGGGATGCATGGGGGTGTGGAGAGGATGCCGAGGGAGGGTGCAGCCAGTGTGCGCTGCGTGCTGTCAGTAGGAGCATCCTGGCACTGCAGCCCCACACCATGCTCTTTCATGCCCACCAACACTTGGGATGGGGGCAATTACATCCCTTCCTAATGCTCTGGTTATCTCTCTCCCTCCTCTCCCCTGGTCCCCTTGCTCCTGCTGCACCTGGGTCTCATGGTTTTTAAGTTGGGAGCAGCTGGTCCCAGTCCCAGGCTCGTGCATGCATGACCAGCAGTGCAGGTGGATGACCATGCTTTCCATGTGGGGATCCATTCCCAAACCTACTGGGTTCCTCTCCTGGGTCTGTGTCTATGGCAGGTGCTCCTGTGGCTCGGGGTGACCCTTCCCATCAGATTCCAGCTCAGCCACTCCATAAAACTCCCTTCCTCCACGGCACAGACCGCAGGGAGGCAGCCTGGGCTGAGGGCTGGGAGCGTCCAGCTGTGGCTGCGATCTCCGCGGAGGAGCCGTGTGTGGGGATGCCAGCATTTCCAAGCACAAGACAATTGTGCTTTATTTCCCCGCTGCATAGGAAAAATAATAAACATTCCTGGGGTTTGTTTTCAGGCTGCTTTGTGGAATAAATCTCAGACTGTTGTTGTCTCCCTGGGCTCTCTGGTCCCACAGAACTGTGTGTTCTCACTCCATGAGTCACTGCTGACAGCGCCTCCGAAACGCGGCGTGATGGCCCCGTGGTGCTCTGGCTGGATGCGCCGCATATGCTGGAGACGATCTGCTCTGCACCCACGGGGATCAGAGAGCCCCCCCAGACCCCTTCACCTGCTACCAGAAGCGGCCTGGACAGACCTTTCCACCTGGTCTTCTGCACCTGGGCGCTGCCTTCCATGTCCTGGGCCTGACAGCACAATGTGCTGCAGAGCTGTGAGGCAAGGGGTCTGCCCTGGGGCCCAGGGTCTGCCCTGGAAGAGGCTGGGGTTGTGTGGGAGCCAACAACTTTTCCCATCCCCTTTCCTTGGTGTGAAGGAGATGCCCCGTGAGTGCCTGAGGGAAGCTATGGCTCTGCCTGAGGCCTGTGGGAACGTCCTTCAGCAGAGTCCATTTCGATGTGGTGGGACCTGGCCCTCTCCTTCATGGCACAGAGTGCTTGGCCTGGTGAAGGGCCTCATACTGGAGGTGCTGCCCCGTGGGAGGGGAGGTCACTGTACCCATGCCCTGGTCAGTCCCCACAGAGGCAGCTGGATGCCATGGGAGGTGCATTGAGATAGGATGATCCATCCAACATGCTGGAGCCAGGTTTGCACCGCCGCTACTGGAGCAGCTGAATGTGCGATTGGATGACATGGGGGTGGAAAATGTGGGGCAGTACTGGAAGGGCTTTCTGCAGCAGTGGTCCTTGGTGTGGCCAACAACAAGCACCACCTGCATCATCCTCAGCACCTAGCAGAGCACCACCAAGGCCCAAGAGCATGTGGAGGCCTCATAAACTCGTCTTCCAAACCCTGCCAGACTTCCTCCTGCAAGTAAGGGGCTTTCCTCCCTCCCACCTGGGAGATAAAGGAGGCCTTGGGAGGTTGGCATGGACCATATGTGTGAGTGAGGGGAGCCTGGTGGGCACAGCACCCCACGTCAGCTGCTGCTGGGTGGTTCCCCTGTGGGTGACCTGCAATGGGGGGACAAGCCCCTTGGCTCAGAGCTGGGAGCCAGTGCATGTCCCATAGGATGAGACAGGGAAAGGCAGTCTCCAGGAGGCCGGTGTGTGCATGTGGTTGGAAGGCTGACCTCAGCTGCAGGATTGCTACAAACATATCCCCAAAATAGCTGGTTTTAGAAACACGAAGTGTCCTCATACTATTACCCAACCCACAATACAAATATAGTGGCAGCAGTCAGTCTAGTGAAACCACGGCCAGGAACAGTGTGAGTTACGGCAAACAAACCAGCGCTGGGGGATGAAAGCTGATGGGAGGGACTTGCTCCCCAGGGCTGCTGATTACATGGCAAAGGACCCGTCTGGCTTTGGAGGAATCTGGGGGGTTTACAGAGCAGTCCATGGCAAATAATGGCCAAAAAACCAAACAAACCCAAAAAACAAAGGTAAAGTATTTTATTGCCTCATGGAGGGGGGTGGGGGTGGGAATGGGATGAGCAACGAATGAAGTGCTATTGCCTGGAGGGCTTGTTCAGGCACTGGAACAGCTGATAAAAATATCCATCATCACCGTGACCCCAGGCACGGGGCGGCTGTGGGGAGGCACACCGCTCACCGAACGGGGGGCCGAGAGGAACAGGCACGGCCACGGCCCAGCCATGGCTCTGGCACCTGGAGGCAGCAGAGCTGCTTTGTTAGAGGCAGGCGCGTGTGGGAGAAATGCGGTTCCAGCCTGCAGGAAAGGCTTGCAGGGGGAAAGAGTTCTTCGCCTGGAGACGCCTGGTAGACACTCGGCGGATATCTTCTGCAGCCAATAATGTGACTTTTTGAGAGTCTCTGAAAACTGCAGATAAGAGCTGGTCATGGCGGAAAGCTCTGGACACTGTCAGGGTGATGAGTGAGCAGACTCTGCTCCGCTAATGACGAGTTAATTGCTGATCTCAGGCGCGGGGATCTGTAGGCACCGGAGAGCAGCGTGGCTGTGCTCACATTGGACATCAATGAACAACGTGTTTATTTGGATATCTGAAAGGTCAATTTTCTAAAATGTGAAACAATCGCTGGCATGACTGACTGGGACTGTAAATTTAGAGTGGGAGGCGTTAGCAAAAGCTGGGACTCATTCAAGGACATCCCAGCAGTGCCCCAAAGCCATGATTTCATAGACCAAAATAATTCTCCCAGGGAAAAAGCTGTCAGTGGTGGTTTGGATGTGTAACAGGGGTGGTGGTGGCCGGGGGGAGGACAGCGGTGCCCTGAGGTGTGCTGCAGGTGGGAACCAGGCATGAGCCTGGCCAGAGGCTGTCATGGAGGGAAGGCAGCTGAGTGAAGGCCCATGTCCCTGCCCAGAGAGGGTAACGTGCTTTCTTCTCTTCCTCATCTTCTCTGTTTTGCTTCTACCATGCTTTGTGGAGCGGTGACTAATGCTGAGCAGCCCCAGTCAGCCAGTGGGAGAGCTGGCAGCATGGAGCAGTGGCCGTCAGAGGAGAAAAGAGACCTTTCTGGTCTGTGGGACAATGCCAGCTGGTGAGGACCTTGGAAAGGTGAAGACCTCCAGGCCGGGCTGCTCCATCCTGCTGGGGAGGTGTGATCAGACAAGGTGAGCCATGGCTCAAGCTCTCTCCTGCCTTGGGAAGAGCTCTGTCAGCTTGTGAGCAGACACGGGGTGGGGGTCACTTCCTCCAGCTGTTACTGAGCACCAAAATTGCGCTATTCAGTTTCTCAAGACCCCTAAAAATTGGTCATGGTCCTACTACTGCCCGGGAATTGTAGGAGTGGTGAGGAAATTTCCAGGGTTAGTGCTTCAAGCAGAGCCCATGGGGTGCTCCCCCCGTCCTGCTCGTGTAGAGCAGGCAGGACGCATCTCCTCCTGCACGGAGCAGGCTTCCCGCAGAGCTGGGCACTGCTGCACCGGACAAATTGGGTGTGCCCAAAAAGGGGTCTTACTCATGGGATGGAGAAGCTGGCACTGTCCTGAAAGGTGGGGAGAAGGGAGGCCTGCAGCGACCTAAAGAACTGCTGGTTAAACTGTGCAGGTAACAGAAGGGGAAAACCAAACAAATCAATGAGCTTTCACTGCCTAATGGCAGTGAGAAGTCTAGAAATGTATGTTAAAGATGACCAAACCAAGCCAACCCCCAATCTCAGCCCTATGCAAAACACATGGAGTCAAACGGTAAGAAGCAAAACCAGAAGAATGCAACAGATGAGTCCAGTCTGTGCTTGGGTTGAAGCATAAAGAAGCGTTCACCCCTGAGGGGGCTAAACTATTTACATCTGTGATGGAGAAGGCTGTGCAACCTCAGACCAACAGGCCCGGTTAACTTATACCCTTGAGCCAAGAATGAGCTGCTGGAAGAGTCCCTGAAATGCTGACACTGACATTGAACAACTCTTGGAAAGACATGACAATATTGAGCCCTTGGAGACCTGCCAGGAGCTGGAGTTTGAAGGCTGAGGAGGGGGGACTGCAACCAGACTTGATGTCCACTTATTGTGGTCCCCTGGTCCAAGGGGCTGGGAAATGAGCTGCGCTGGGCTCAGCTTGTGCCACTTGCTAAGAGAAGCCTGGGAGGTGACGTGACCACTTTTATAGGTACTTGAACATAAAAATGTTTCCTGGTGGGGGAGGCTTTCAGGAGCATTGACAAATGTATGTTACAGTCAACTGGCTGGAAGCCTCATTTAGACAAACTCAGCCTTGAAACAAGCTGCAGTTTCCCACTCCTCAAGGGCCACTGGACACTGGAGGAGCTTTTTGGATGGGGGGAGGATTCGCTGCTGCCTGGAGCTTTGGCGCAGCAGCACAAAGCCTTTCTGCAGGCCAGGCTTTGGGTCAGCTTGTAGGAGAAATCACGGTGTGCATCCCATTCCTTCGCAGCCTTTGTGAGGAACCAGCTGGTGTGCTCATGGTATGCACAGATTCTTGTTGGAAGGGGGTTTCTGATCCACCTTGGGGCTGCAGGCAGTGAAACTAGCACCAGGGTGGCAGTGCTGTGAATGATCTGCAGGATCTGGGACCATGTTGCATCTCCTGGGGCTGGGAGGACACAAATCCATGTCCCAAATCCTTGAGAGGATGGAACACCAGTCGTCACCTCTCTGCTGTTATGGCTCTCATGGATGGGGGTGCAGGCACATGAGCAAACGAGTGCCAGCTCTGGTACCCGGACTGGGGAGCAGGGTAAGGACAGGATTGCTTTGGCTTGGTGCAAGGCCAGGAGCTGCAGAGGAGAGGAGGAAGCTTCATTCTCTGAGCAGGGCATGGTGTCTGCTCACAAGCCACAGCTCCATCACATTTCTGAGTGCATCTCCAGGAGGTCCAGAAGGATCAGCATTTCCCAGAGCAGGAGCAAGTGCCTGCACGTGTCCCCTTCCTTCCCAGCAGTGATGGGCTGCCAAGAGGGGACAGTGCAGCTTCACTGGGGTAAAGGGCTTTTCCCTGGGGCAGGGGGCATCCAGCCCTGCAGAAGGGTAGAGTGCTCACAAGAGAGGGTCCAGGTCCAGCAGCAAAGAGCAGCAGCCACTTGCAGAGGAAATCATCTGCAGAGCACTGGAGATGATACAGGAGATGGACAAGACAGTGAAGAGGAATGGAAGATGCTATGGGATATAGAGATATGAGCCACCAAACATGATAATGACAAGTGGCAGACAAGGCTGGGGACAGCGTACGTGAGATTTAATGTAGCCAAACAGACCCCTCATGCCCTGCCCCATGGCCCTGAGGACAGCCTTTGGTTACCAGTGTGCAGCCACCTGGCTGTGGAAAGGAATGGGCCTCTCCCTCTCTCCTGCCTTCTAGCCCATCTGAGCCCCAATGCCTGTGGCACCAGGAGACTTTTTAGCATGGCAGGAACAGGAGCAGAAGAGATGTGCTTGCAGGATGCTGGGTCTGAGCATCGCCATGACCTTGGCCAGCCTCTAGGCGCCCCTTCCTCCAGGAGCTCTGGGGACGGGGAGGGCTCTGGCCAGTCTCTAAAGGGGCTGTTTCAGTGCCAGAATAATACTGGGCACTTTGCCTGGTGCCATTTGCACAGCTCTTGCTTTGGCCAGTGCCCAGAGCTGCCCTGTGCTTTATTTCTTTGGCATAGGTTCAATGGGAGGTGGGTAGGGGGGGACAAAAATAGATGCTGTGAGAAGAAGCTGAGAAGAAAGCACACCATGGGAAGGAGGGGATATGGTCACAGCAGTGCACCTGAGCCCTGTAGGGCACTGTTATGGGAAGCTCACAGCTTTGGGGAGGGGGCTGTAAGGAGCATCTCCAGGCTTGGTCCTGAAGGCCAGGAGGTTGCCGGCCTGGCTCCCTGATGCTGTGCACACCTTGCAAGCTGGCGGTGGAGTGGAGCTTGGCAGCTGTGGCTGCGATGGGTGGCCCTGTGGAGGTGCCCCATCCATGCCATGGAGATGTATGGGGGATGGTCTCCTTTCACCCAGCATCACCCAGGACTTCTCAGTGGGATCAGGAAAGAGGTCCTGGGATGCTGGGGTGGTGGCAGCATCCCTGCTGGCTTGCTTTTGGAGACAGAGCCTCCTGCAGTGCCCACGTCCTGGGTGCTGCCCTGGGGTGGGATGAGGGGTGATGGGTTGGGAAACACCTCCAGCTCCCCGGGGCTGGGCACCCTGCTCTGAGCCCTGTCCCTGTCCACCCCAGGGAGCCGGCTCCATCACTCCCACCCAGCCCTGCCAGCCCTGGCAAGAGGTGTCCACTGCCCACTTCTATCTCACCGTCTGGGAATGTCTCCTGAGACTTTGCCTGTGTTTTGCTGTCCTTATTTGCACCTCTTGAGGCTCATTCATACCCTTGTCTGTTCTCCTTGGTGCATCTCCTTCCATCTGCCAAGCCTGGACCAGCCCGCAAGGTCCCTCCTGCTCCTAGATGCTGTTTGGTGGCTCTAGGGTCAGTGTCTAGCACCAGCAAAAAGGATCACCACTTCTCCCTGACGACCTCCCCACTCCAGAGCCAGAGTCTGAGCCCATGTTGAGATTTGAGAACATACATAGCCTCCTCTCCTAGCTTGTTCTTCTCTGCCCAGCTGCAAGCTGGCCCCCCACACTACTAGCTCGTGACTGGCTCGGCTCAGCCCCTGCTTTTGAAGCTGCTTTTTGCATTTGTCTGTTTCTGAGCTAAGGCAGGAGCCAGCTGGGTACCTGCGCTTCCGTGCAGGGTGCAGCCTGCATGTGTTTGCCTGCTCCCCATCCCCACGCACAGCTCTGGGGGAATGCAACACATCTGGATCCTTGCGCCCTGCCCCCGGCTGATGTGCCACATCTGGATTCCTTGCATACAAGCCCTGTCTAACAGGCTGTGTCTGGCTTCCCAGCATGTGATTCCTAGATAACAAGTCACTCCTGGATTTCCTACATGTGATTCTTGGATAACATGGCATATCTGGATTCCTTACATTCAATTCCTGGACAATATGGCACATATGCTCTCTGGCTAAGGCTGGAGCTGGAACAGGACTTTCTCTTTACAGTTTAAAGGAATTTTTTTTTTCTTTTTTTTTTTCTGGAGGAGATGAAGCTTTGACCTGAATTGCTGGCTGCCTCACAAAATCTCCCTTCTACCTCGGCTTTGGCTGCTCTTGGCTGGGAGCCTGGCTTGAAAACAAAGATCCTATCTCCCCCCACCCCGTGGGCTTTGGGATTGCTGGCGGTGGACACGCCGCCCCTCGCCAATCACTGCTTACAATAATATTTTTCTCTAGGATTGAGCTTGGAATAACTTTGTTTTGACATAATCTGAACTAATGTCTCCCCGGCAATGACAGTAAACACTCGACAATAAGTCACAGCGCAGCCCTGAAGCTCTGCAGAAGGGGCTCCAGCTTTTGGACACACAGGAACTGGTACAGGTCACCACTACAGGGATGGTGCTGGCGAGGGCAGGGTGCACCACAGCCTGAGACGTTGGGTTTGAGCCCTTTCCCCTCAGAGAGACTCCACAGAGGGTGAAGGAGAATGCAGCATGGGGCCATTGCTAATCAGTTCCTCAGGCATGAGGAGTTATTGTGTCTGCGGCAGTGGCAGCTCCAATTTAAACACTGTCACTGCACTATTAATGGTCCTGGCACTCACTGACTCAAGAGCTCGGCCTGCGATCTGGGAGCACCGATGGCTGTGCAGCCCCAGAAGAGCTTCAATCTGCATGTCATGTTGCCCATGCCTGGCTGTCTGTCCCCATAAGCTGCTGTGCTCAGGGTGCCCTGTGCTGACACTGGCTGATGGTGCCACATCAGGCCACATCTTCTCCCCATCCCATGTTTCCCAGGGATGAGGGTCCTCGAGGAGCCCTGCGGAGAGGCCGTGCTGTGCCCAGGTGGTGTCACCTTCACAGGGACAAGTAGTGCCCACCAAAACAGCTGCAATGAGGCTCAGCTGCCGCAAGGCTTTGGCTGATGTGTCGGGGGATGGCTGTGGTGGGAAAAAAGGAGGGGCAGGGATAAGGACAGGAGCACCCAAGGGCCCCTGTGGAGAGGACATGTGGTGGGCACAGGTTCCCTGCCAGGGGCCTCCTCCTTTCCCCCTTGGACAGCCCTTGGGGCCAAGCTCTGCCCCGAGCCCCGATCAGAGTGGGACCCGTTGTCCAGCCGTGCTTCAAGCAGTGTCTGGACCTGGTTTGTTTTATAAACCAGCAGAATCTGTCCAAAGGTTAAAGCCACTAAAGGCTCTGTCTTCCTCCCTTCTCTGCAGAGCTCTGCTTCCCATCTGCCTGCACCCCCTTGTCCAGCCGCATGCCAAGGCAGCTCAGGGCAAAAGCCAGTGCTGGTGGCAGCCCACTTCCCACTGGCTCAGCTCCCTGCTCAGCCCTGTGCAGCATTAAGGCTCTCCTCTGCCTGAGACGGTTCCCAGCAGGCTGCTGGTGCTGCACCACCACATCCTTCATGCAGCAGGGCTCTGAGTGCCACCCGTGAGCCAGCTGTGCCCATCACAGCTTCCCTCTGTGCTGGCCGTGGCAGCGCAGGTACCTTTCTGTGCCCGTGGTCAGCGCCTGGCTGCAGCAATGCTGCTTGGTCCACGGGTGTAACCCTCCATCATTGCCCATCTTTTGGTGAACCAGATGTCTCCTGCCATGAGCCTGACCCTTGCAACAGCGGCCAGCTTCTCTGAGCCCCAAAGCAGGGCCGTAACTTTGCATCCCAGAGCAAAGCATCCCCACCTGAAGACAGCATCTGGGCTCTGTGAGAGGAGGCAGAGCTGCAGATGGGAGGGCAGGCAGGGCTCCAGGCTGCAGAGGGTGGCTTTCCTAGAAATCTACAGCCCCATCCCTGCTCCTTGTTGGGGGCTACAGGGGGTTGCACAACACAGGAGCTGGAGAGTCCTCACTGCCTGGAAACTCTGCACTGCAGCATGGGGTTGGTAGACCTGTCCTGAGCACCTCCAAGAGGGATGGGACCTGCTGTCACCATCCTCCTCCAATGGGCCCCTCGGGTATAGCTAGAACTGCAGCTCCCCTGGTTATTCTGGAAGACCATGGGCGGCCTTCTTTTATTTATTTATTTTTAATGGATGAAAAAATGTGCTTGCTATTGTGACAGGAGAAAGGAGATGTTGAACAATAGCTTAGGGGACTTCTGAATGTCAATGGAGCAAGCTGTGGAAGACTGGAACATGGATGGATGTCACTGATGGCTGATGCCACGGACAGTAAGAAAGGTCTGCTGAGGTGCCTGTTTCATACTCCTTGGTAAAGGAGAGAAGAGTTTCTGGGGAGGGTACAAAAGCAACAGGATGAGATACGAGGCGCATTTCTTAGCTGTAGAGCCATCAACCACCCTGCATGGCCAGGGCAGAGGTCAGGGAGGTAGGGAGCAATGTCCCTGCATTGCAGAAAGGAGCTCTGAGAGGATGGAATCACACCAACGTCATGTTGGGATGCATGCTTTGCAGCAGAGAGGCAGAGGGTACAGGCAGGTGGTGACAGTCTCTGGCCATGGTGCAGGTGCTGAGGTAGCCCTCTTTGAGAGGATGGTGGGCTCCCAAAAAGCCCAGGACCTGTCTGGGTGGCCTTATTCATCCCTTTCTCCTTTTTTTCCCTCATTTGTCATGTTACAAGAATCCTTTCATCCGCATGTTTGTTTTTCTTTCAGTCTCTTTGCAGATGCTCGGTAATTCTTTGAACATATCAGACGGGTTTGTGTATCCCTGTGTCCGAGTTGCTCTGTGGATTCTCCCCAGAAGAAAACAGGCACCTCTGGAGCATGTTGCACACTGGCCTGAGGTCATGTCTAAAGGCAGCCTGGCAGACGCACGCTGGAACACGGCCTCTGAGCAGAGGGCAGGCGGCGAGCTTGAGGGGAGAGCGACGCTGCATCTGGGAGCACTTTTCGAGGTGTGGAGAGATGGTGAGCACTGGTGGGAATAAACATTGCGATGCAGAAGGGATAGGAAGGCTTGTGAGTGTAAGTGCCTGGGGCATGGTGGAACCACAGACAAGTCTGGCAGCTGCTTTGTAAAAGAGAATGTGCAGATGTCCTGTCCCTGAATGCTCTGGGAGCTCTGGGTGGTGGCTCTGGGGCATGTTTTCCCTCCGGAGCTGGCCTGGTCCAGGAACGTCAAGACCACCTCAGCCCATGAGTCCTGAGGGCCTCGCTCAGTGCCTCGGCCATACTGGATGCTGCCCTGCCTGAACGAAGGGGGGCCCAAAGCTAGAGTGTGATCCCTTGGAGAGCCACAGACACATGAGCTCTTCAAACATCCTTCCTGTGCCCCAAACCCAGCCACGCTACATGGTGTGGGGCTGGGCTGTGCGCTGGGCTCCCCTTCTTCATTCACTGGGGCTCCTCAAGCACCGTGCAGGCCATGCGGCACCTGAGCAGCTCAGAGGAGAGCAACCCAAAGCTGGGGGGCTCAGAACAAGACCCTTGATGTCCAAGACAAGACCTGGAGAGCAATGCTGCTGAAAAAATGCCACGCGATGCAGGCAGAGCTGTGGCCCGCGGGCTCCTGCTGCCCGTGGGTGCGAAGCCAGGGGCAGGGATGTGGGCAGGGCTGGGCGCTGGGCAAGGCAGGCCACTTGCAGGGGCACTGGGCAGTGCTGGGGATGGTGCTGTGAACCAGCCGGCCCTGCTCTGGCACCATTCAATCCCACTCTGCCTGAGCCAGCCCCTTGCCATGCAGGTGGTTCTGCTTCCAAAATGCCGTCTGCTTCCCCAGCAAGCTGAAGGGCAGTGGGGCACCTGCAGTGGGGCACCATCGCCAGAGCCATCAGCTGGGCAGCTATGCAGGGACCTGGAGGGCAGGGGTGGCTGCAGTGGCAGGGCAGGAGGGACCCACAGAAAGAATGGGGGACCCATGGGCAGGCCGTGGGGCACACTGCCAGACGTGGCACCTTGGGATGTGAGAGCTGCAGTGAGGAAGCAGAGGCAGCCTCGGTGCAATCCTTGCAAATGCTGTGGTAAAACTTTTTTTTCAGATAAATATTTACTCTGAATACATCTATTGTAGGAGTCTTCCATGTTCTTGGGGACAACATATAGAAACCCTCCTCCCTGTCATGCTGAGCTGTTGTCATTGCCCTACATGGGTGACCCTGAGGAGGATGAGGACAGAGCTACTGGTCCTGTCACTCCCCACCAGTCCCGAGGAGGACAAGCTGGTTGGGGCTGACCGGAGGCAGCCGGGAGCAGCTCTGCAGCCACCTCCTTCAGATGACAGCACGGGCAGAGCAGAACTCACCGCAGAGACCAGGGTCTCCCTAAGCACCTGAGCATCTCCTGAAGGTGGTGATTGCTCCCAAAGGGACGGGTGAGCAGCACCCAGCAGCCTGCCTCTGTCCAAGTGCAAAGGAGGCCTGAGGACACGGATGGGGAGGGGGAGCGGAGCGAGGCAGCACAGAGGAACAATTGAAAAGAGGAAAAAGGAAATCCTCCTGGAGCTGTGAAAGTGTTTTCCCAGACTGTCTGGCCCGCTACGATGACCTCATTCTCCGAGGTGATGTTAATTGGGCTGAAAGACTGGAGAACAGGCTGTCCAGCCCTGCGAGCCCCACCGCCGCCGTCACCTGCACAGCCCCAGCACGGCACCCACGCCTCCTGCCCAGCAGCATCCATCGGCCGCCGCAGCCCTCGTTAAACCCGACCCAGGCTGCCCCTGCCGAAACGCAGAGTCCCGTGCTTTTGCCAGTGCCTTTAACGAGGGTTAACAAGCCACAGATTTCCATTAGTTCATCTCAGCTGTTTATCCTGGAAAATTCCCTTTGCAAAATCAGTGTGATGCACACAGATCTAGAGGGAGGGGAGGGCATCCGAGTGCTGTGCATGCCAGGTTCAGAGGTCTCCGCTCATCTCCAGGCACTGATATCCTCATGACAGCAAGGTCCAGGAGACCAAGCACTGGGAAGCATGGTCTTGTGGATGTGAGACCACAGGAGGGTTCGTTACCAGAGATAAGGAGCTTGTGGGGTGGACATCCTGTTCCCTGCAAGGGCGCCAAGGGGGTGTCTCCTGGTGGGTCAATATTTTAACTGAGATAATGGAGGTCTGAGTAATGGGTCCCCTCCCAGATCCTCTTTTGCTACAGATGTGTGGGCACCAAGAGAAGTTTTTTTCACATTCTTACCCAGAGGCATTTTCTGATTTCTTATGTGGAGGGGGAGAAACCAGCAGAGTTTATCTCCTCCCACATGTTTATCTGACTTTTAAACATCTTCAAAACACAGCTCCTAAGGCCACTAGCTGCCTGTCAAATTTGCCTGAATTTGTTCCACTAATTATGAAGGCATGAGGAGCACACACTTGCACATGATTGCAGAAGGCATGCTTCCTTGCAAAAACCAAAACAAAAAGTAAGCACTTGGGAGTACTTTTATGTAGTAGAGAAATTAAAATAGTGAGAATGAAAGGCTGGACATTAAAGCTAGATCTCCTCAAATGTGGACCGGCCCATATCTCAACACTGACTGTGCTGGAAAAAATTACAGAGGGCAAAGACAGAATTCTCCTTGATAGCTTGGCAGGCAGACTGGCTGCCTTTCCAGCAGAAGATCTTAAGCCAAAAGATAGTTCCTGGTCTTGATGGTAGCAGGGCAATGGTGTCAGGCCTCAAGTTGTTTGAGCTGCATAATATCAAATCTTATGGCCATAAATTTGGTGCAATCAAAAGACTGTGAGCAAAATAACAGTGCTGTGCCATTGGCTCCTGCTCAACAATGCTCATCAGCAGCCTGGTTGTCTCCAGGCAGTCAAGCAACCACATCAAGAGGCTGTTGCACATCTTCTAGTGGTTATTGTGCGTCTTCTGTTCTCTCATTGCATCCCCCAGCAAAATGTGGGTGTTTTGAAGGTAGGAAAATGTTGTAATGGAATTTATATTCCTATTAGAGAAGGCAGGATCAGAGCCAGGCCACTGGCACATGGGGTGGAAGTGGAGGAGAGCAGCAAGTCCCTAGACCAGGAGGGTTGAGAGGCTGTGTCACCAGAAAGATGAGCTGCTTCCTGATTGCCGAGCTCCAGCACCACAAACACAGCCACAATATTTGCTAATGCAGTCTTCACCTCCCTGCTTGAGTTACTCAGGCCAGGTCAGCAGGCAGGAACCAAGCTTTGACTGCGATTTCCTCTAAAAACCTGTGGTCACCCCTCTTGGGAGCTGTGGGGAGCCTGCTATGTATGGGTCATAGTCTCATGTGGGCTGGAGGCTCCTGGATGGGAGAGGAAACTAAACCCACAAAGCAAACTCACAGCTGGGAGTGTGATGCAGCAGGGAAAGGAGCCTGCCCATGGCTTCTACCCCCTGTGCCTTCCCCTGGTCACCCTGAAACAGGGGTGAGCAGCAGTCAGGAGCTCCTCCACGGCCGTGAGCTCCTCCATGTCCTTCAGTTTCCTCCTCTCTTCCTTCCTTCCTATCCACTCAGCTGGCACCAGCCTTGTACTTTCTTTGGGATTCCCTGAACATTCCCTAAACACAAAGACTTCATTACTGTGCTTTTCTGTTCTTCAGTTCTTGCTGTTTAAGTGCAAATGTGCTGCAACCACCTGCCCTCGGGTCATGATGACATTTCTTGGTCATCCCATCCAACCAACTCAGATATGTTGGCATTCTTACTCCTACATCAACACCATGAGACCACAAGTAGAAACTGTCTGAAGCATATTTTTTTTTTTTTCACTTGAGTTTGGCTTTCAAGAGTTAAAGGAGTTTCTTTTTACCATCAGTGTGGCTGATAAGCACACTCAACTGCCAAATGCCATTTATTTGTAGCTTACTTTAAAGATAAGAGAGGGTTCCCCATGGTATTAGAGGCTCCATTCTGCTTCCACTGTGCCCCTTCAGAATGGCTGCAGTACCATATTTGTCTAGTTTGAACTGCAAAAGGTCGTAATAATCTCCAACACTGGCATGTTGCTATGAGATCTTAAATACCGGTAATGAGCAGGGACTGTCAGAGGCGTTTTTCATGGTGGAACCTCATCAGCTTTTGCTCCAGGACAAATAATAACAAGCAAAGCCAAGAAGTCCTCTTGGGAGACAGTCTGCCAGACATGAGCCATGTCTAGATTGCGGCTTTGGGTAAGAGACCTGTCTTGCTTGAAGCAAGCTACAGTACCACTGACGTGCCTGCAGTGCCTGCCGTGTCCATAGGAACGGGGCTGGAGGAGACACATGCAGCATCCACACGTTGTACTTGGGTGACCAGAAGTCGATCTGTGGATGGTGTGTGGGGTGTCTCATTCACTTGTCTCCAGTTTTGCTCCCTGTGAGATATCTGTGCCTGCCTATGTGGTCCTAGCTCCTGTCAGAGCAGTTGTAACTGCTCGGCAGCTGGGGACACCTGGAGAGGCAGACCTCGCCCTGTGCACTTTCATTCCTCATAGTTAGCTCTCACCTTCTGTGTACCCCTTGGCAGCTCCCCCTCGTAGATCTGTTCTTTAAAGGGAAATTTTGCTTGCCTTGGGTGTAACGAAGAGAAGATTTTAAGCCAAACAACAGATGACATCTGGTCCTTGTGCTCCCCATCACTGTGGACAACATTTTAATGTGGACAACACTGTTGTTGTATCCAAATTATTCTCTGGAATTGGTAGTCCCTTCCAGATTTGGAAAATTTGAATCTGTTCCTGTCAGCTAACTTTCAAGATATCTTTGGTTGGTAGAGAAGAGTGTTTTGTCCATAGGACTTGATTCTGAGGCAATAGTTTTATTTTTCTGACATTAGTCTTAGTTCTGTCACGAACACTTCAACTTGTATGACTTCTACATGGTTCTTTATTTCCTACTAGTTTTGCTGTTATTCCCTTTGGAAATGGCTTTATGTTGAGTCTTCAAACACCTATTTTTTTCAGGATAGCACAGATTATTCTTATGGGATGACTTATGACTTTATCTCCATTTTTCAAACTAATTGAGAAGCAGCTGATGTTAATTGTTGAGTCTTAGTGATGTCATGGGATTGCATTTGGAACAGAGCTTTCATTATGCTCTGTCTCAAATTGCGGATTCTAATAGCAAAATTTTGCTGTCTTCTTTGCTGTCCAAATTTATTTGAAATGTTTCTTGCAGTACTGATGAGTCCATCTCTTCCTTAAGGATGTCACTGAAAGCATTGTTATTAGGCAGGAGAGTACTGACCTCTGCATCTGGTTTTGTGTTGTTTTGAGACATAACTTGAGATCCAGATTCTTTGCTAATAAAATCATCATCTAAGGCAGAATTTAGAGCTAACATATTTTGTCCTAGTGCTTATGTTTTATTTTTCTCTATTTCTGAATAAACAAACCAAACCAGAATACGGTATTTCTTCTTTCTTTCTCTCTCTCTCTCTCTCTCTTTTTTTCTTTTAATTTTTTTTTTTTCAATCTATTTGAGCCAATAACTTTATATGGGTTCAGCCCACGCTGTTGCTCACCTCTCTTGCTTAATCTAGATCTGAATTAATTGAGAACAGCCTTGCTTTTCCTTTATGAGCTACTGATGCCTCATTATTGATGTTTTCTCCTCTGACACGGGGACACCACTCCCTCTCTCCCCTTCACTTGGAGGCTTGTGTGTGGGCAGCTGTGGGTGCTGCCCAGCTGGTGCTCAGAGGATGCTCTGGAGGAGGCCCAGCTGCTGCGGCAGGCAGCCCAGGCTCCACCAGTGGAAGTCTGCCTGGGCTGGTAGGTTGGTAGAAATCAGCCCGACTGGCATGGAGAAGCCATGCGGATCGAGCCCCTTTGCTCTGAAGAAGACAGGCCAGCTTTGGAGGTGTGGCTGTGTGTCTTTTCCTGCTGCCATTGCTCTGCTCTGCCCTGCCTCATTTTCCACCATGGTCAGAGCTGAGTACTGGTGGTGGGGAGCAGGGTGAGGATGGACTGGGCTGGTGAAGCTGTCCTCTGGGCCAGTGCGTTGGGATGCCTGGTGGGGGGGTGCCTGTTGGGGAAACAATGGGCTCCTGTCTCTTCTGCTCCAGGGACAGAATGGGCTGGCCTGAGCTTGCTCAGCAGGAAGACTAGGATGGGTTTAATCTCCATGTGAATGTAGCCAGTGCTTCTGCAGTGATTTTCATAGCACAGGTAGAACTGCCAGGAAAGGCCAGCATCCAACCCCAGGAGGGCACCCAGCTGTTACCTGCTCTGGAAAAGCCCTGACCCAGGGGTATTGGCCAGGAGGAGAGGCAGGTGGACCTAAGAGGGATGGTGGGCAGTGCTAGGGCTCTCCACTGGTGTGGCAGAGGAGTAAGGACTCATCCTGGAGAGGTGGACAGCAAGGCTTGGCCAAGCTGGAAGAGGTAGGGACCTACTTCTTGTCCTCTTGGCCTTGGGACCTCGTGGCTTGTAGGGACAGTGAGACCTCCAGTGCTGGGCCAGTTGCTGGGGCTGGGGACATGCATCTGGGAACAGAGAGGGACTGGGACAAGTGTCTTCCTTTGCTGGTGGCCCATTTCACCTCCTCATGGAGGGGTGGACGTCTGCAGGAGATGCTCCAAAGCCTGCCTGAGATTCTCCTGGCTCCTTGCTTGGGAGCACACAGGAATCCCAGGGAAAGGACAGGGCAGAGGAGGCCACTAGGGATGTCCAGTGCTAACACCAAGGTCCAGCAAGACAAGGGGAGGTGTGCTGCTCTGCCCGACCCTCCCCAGCCAGCCCCCCAAGCCTCCTCCATCCACTGCCTGCTCCCGTCCTCCCGCTCCAGGCAGCCGCCGGGGTCTGCCTGAGATCCTCCAGATGTGCGGGCGGCCGGCGAGCCAGATGTGCAGTGCCGCCGGGGGCCCCCAGCAGCCGAGGGATGCTGTCAGCACCCCCGCCCTGCCAGCCCCTGGAGTGCTGCCGTCCCGTCCCCTCTGTGGGGGAATGGGCAGGGCTGCGCCCCCCTCCAGGTGTCTGCCTGGCCCCTGACCCCCGTTCCCCCGCAGCAAGGCCTGTCTGGGCCACACCAGCGGCTGGGCAGGCGCTGGGAGTGCCGCAGGCCTGGGGGAGCGGGGATGAGAGGCGTGTCATGAATGTGTTGGAAGGTGGGGGAAACTGAGCAAACGTGCAGGCGGTGCCTGTGCAGAACATGGCTCCTCTGCTCTGGCACCTTCATGGCTCTTGATCGCAGGCTGCTCAGGGGACCTGAGCACTGGTGCTCCAGGGACCCCTTCCCTGCCCGGTGAGGAGGCCACAGTCCCTCCCTGATGGTGCCAGGCAGCTCTGTGCCCACCCCATCCCCTTCCCATGGTGCTGTGAGCTCCTGGAAGTTTTCTGGTGCCCCTCAGCACCCCATGGTGGCTGCAGATCCTGGGATCCCAGCTGTGAGCAGGGCTCTGCTTGGTCAGAGACAGCCTGGTGCGAGCTTTTCCTGGGCTAGGAGAAGCTGCATGGGAGCCTCTCCTCCTTCTTGCCTGTGCCCCTTGGGGAAACGGGGTGATGCATGGTCCCACTGGGGACCTTCAGCCCATCCTCCTTCCTGAAGCTCTTCTCACCCCAGGAGGCCCTGCAGCCCAAAGCCTTCCTGCCCCGCCCCAGCCCTTCCCATTGCACTAGAGCTCTTTATTCACCCTGCAGACACACCACAGGCAGAACCATGAGCCTGATTCTCAACAGGCTTTTGGTGGAGCTCATTTTGGGGAAGCAGGTCTGGGCAATGGGATTAGGAGCCATTATCTGCATGAGGGCACCCTGGGGGATTGCAGCCTTGGAGAGACATCTGCCTGGAAGAGGATGGGATGGGCAACAGAGCCCATTGAAGGCTGTGCAGGAAGCTCTCCCTGCGCAGGAGTTGCTGTAACTATCAGTTGCTTTTCCTTGATAAGAAACTCTCCAACGGTGGCTGCCGGGATGGGATGGGATGGGATGGGATGCCCAAAGTGTGTCAAGCCCCATGGGCCCATCTCCAGCCCCCTAAGGTGCTCGTGGCAGCAAGCAGAGGTTGGGCTGAGATGAGAGCTGGTGCTAAGGGACACATTCCTGATACTGAAGAGGGATGTAGGGAATGAGCAGCTGGGAAGCCTGGAAAATACTCTATCAAGGCACTATGTGTTGCTTGCTGAGGGGTACAGCTACACAACATTTGAATCCCTGGCCTCTGCCAAATCAGTGCTGCAAAGCAGTACCAGAGCTGCTGCTGCCCTTTGGGCTCTTGGTCACAGTCAAGGAAAATCCCACCATGAGAACCAGAGAGGAACTTTGCAGTGACATTTAGGATGTTATTTAAAGGAGAAAGTCATGAGTAAGTCTGATGAACTAGATGTTCATTTATAAAGATAAATACTGCATAGTATTCATTTAAATATTTTTAAATATTTTGCCAGCTGCTGATCAAAAATCAAAGTAGCCTTGAAAAATGTACAAGACTTGTGAGAAACTGAGCTCGGAGCCCCAGAGGACACATTTCCATGCGGCGTGCTTCCAGACAGGCACAGTCCTGGGGAAGATGTGGTCTGTGCTGGCTGGCCTCCCTACACCATACCCTGCCCTGGGCTTTCCACTGCACTAGAGGCTTGCACCTGGCAATGTCCTCTTGCCAGCTGCTGGGGCAGGGCACGGTGTACAGCCCCCGGTGCCATTCCTCCAGTTCACATCAAGGCAAGACTCAATGCAATGATCTGCCTCAGTACCCAGACGTGCCCCCAAGGGTAGAGCCTGGTGCTCCAGCTCCTTGTTCCCAAAAGGCCATGCCAGTGGGACTGTCTGCCCGTGGGGCTGGCAGTGGGTCCCAGCAGGGCTCCAGCATGGTCTCCTGGTCCTCTGTGACCTCATGGATGGAAAGGACTGAGCCCACTCTGTGCTATCTCTGGTGCTGGGTGATGTCCACGGTGTTCCATCTTACTGCTGACCACTAGCCCTGCTTCACAGGCTACAGCACCAGTAGGATATGGGGTCACCACAACAGGGTGCCCCTGCACCCCACAACAGCAGCAGGACATGGTGGATCTCACAGGCAGCACTCCTGGCTGTGACCCCCTGTTAGGGACAAGGTGTTCCTCCGGAAGGTGCATGTCCTGAAACCTCCTGTCCTGGTGCCTTAGCGACCTTGGCACTTGGTTATCTGGGTCCCTTATCTTGGCGCCCCACCTAGCATGATGCTGACCATGGTCACCCTGGTGCCAAGGCCATGGGTGAGTCCTGGTGCCAAGGCCCAGTGCCAGCCCAAGCACCACTGCTCAGGGACAATTGGAGGAAGCTGTGTCCCTTGGCAAGCCCTGAGATTTCTTTTGGGAGTGACATGGCTGGGACCATGCTTGTTAACATGGGCATGGGTCACACACACCTCCCAGGGGCACCCAGACAAGCTCGCACTGAGAGAGCTGTGTCCATGCACACACGTGTGTGCAGAGAAGGAGGCACAGTGTTGTGTGCACGCAATCTGCGTGTGCTCACACACTGGCACACGGGTGCCCTCGTGCTGTGCAGCCAGGCTGTGTGCTCAGGGGAGGTGCCATGGTGAAGCACCTCAGCATCTTCTGCTGGCACTCAGCTCCTAAGAGCCCTCAAACCTGCCCAGGCTCTTTGCCACCCCTCCACTGCCCCTGAAACTTGGGTGCCACAGGGTTCCTGGGTGCCACAGGGTTCCTGGGTGCCACCCTGCCTTGCCCCACCTCTGCTCCCTGCAGAGCTCCCTGCTCGGTGCTGCATGTCTGTGGGGTGCCTGCGGTTCTTGGAGGAGGCCGGAGCAGTGCAGACGTGCACGACAAGCTCCTTATAAGGCTGGAGATACGCGGGCGGCCGCTGCTTTCCCAGGCAGCCAGGAGTTCCTAGAAGTTAGCTTCTGGTGCCAGAGACCAAGTCCTGGAGAGCTGCGTGGGCCAGCCTTCCTGGAAGAAGTCTCTGGCTGCGGCAGCGCCCGCCTTGTGCCAGCTCTTGCCCTGCCATGCACTGCCCTGGTGGGGGTGGCTGTGCTCCCTTAGTGTTCCCCTGGGCCATGGCTGCGCATGTGGAAAGCCCTGGCATGGCCAAGGCTGGCACCCAGCTCTCCATCCCATCCCAGCCCCTGCAGACGCGTGGACAAGAGCCATCGCCATCGCCATCGCCATCCATGTCCCCAGCCCCAGCCCTAAGCCACTGCTGGCCCCATTCCCCAGCCAGGAAAACCCCAGGCTTGAGCTCAAGTGTGTCCGGTGGCTGATAACATCCACAGCTTGTAGCCGTGCAGCTCCTGCTCATGCCTTGCATCCTCCTGTTCTACCAGCAGCACCGTGGGTCCTTCCAGCTTCCTTGAATTGGGTAAAGGTGTCTCCTGCTGCTGGCATCTCCCCACGACTTGAGAGCTGTCCCATTTGCCTTGACACCACCATGTGCTCAGGACACCTAGTGTGCATCCTCCATGGGTCCATCTTGTGTCCAGTGGCACCTCCAGTCCCACATGAACACCTGAAAGGTGTCTGTTCCCCATCTCGGGCATCCCTGACACTTTCAGACTGCTTCCATCCCCTGACATAGCTCAGTTGCTCTGTGCAGACTGTGTCCCCTCCTCCAAGTGGCCAAGATGTCCCCACTGACAGCATCAGTTCAGCATGTGCCTGGACAGGAGATGGCCATGAGATGATGGGCAGACTCCAGGACCTCAGGGAAGTGTGCGGACACCTGTGCACAGCTCCACCACTGGTCTGTGCATCCCAGAAGAGGGCATGTGGTGGACAAGCACCAGCACAGAGGTGGCAGGTCCCAACCCCAAGCATCCCAGCTCCTTGATCTGAGGATCCTGACTTCTGTGACCCCAGAATCCTTTTGACCCTTTGATCCTCGTGACATGGCCACCCATTGTTGCTGGCTTAGGGTGACATCTGCAGAATGCCTTTCTCCTGGGGGCTCCCACCAAAGCCTTATGTGGCCCACATGATCGGCCCTAAGCACAAAACCTTCCTGCAGTGTCACATCGCGCCAACTTTCCCTTACTCCAGTCCTCAATGCCATTCACCTGCTGCTGTCCTGAGACCTCCTGACCTTTGTGTCCCTCACTGTGCCTCTTGTTCCCCAGAGATCCAGATGATTTTGACCCAAAACTGTGTTGTGTCTGCTAGCTGCCTGGCCTGCTGCTCCAGCACAGTCTGTCCTCTCCCTTTCCTCTCCCTTATAGCCTAGATGATCCCGTGTCACCCGCCTCCTTCTCCAGCCTTCCTAGCAATTACCTTGTCTTTAAAAAAAAAAAAAAAAAAAAAAGAGCTTTGTTGATTTTTTTAAAGGTGCCAAGTCAATCTGGTACAGTCTATCCCTGATAAACAGCCCTCCCTCAGGGCCTCTTGGGACCAGAAATAGCACAGGGGCTGGACCCGCTCAGAGCAAACATTCCTCCCCACACACGAATGTCTGCTTCCCCTGGCTGCCGTCCATCCGTCTGTCCATCTGTCCGTCCCCTGAGAGCAGCAGCACCTCGGGGCACCAGTGCCACTGTTGCCTCCCGCAGGTCCCAGTAGTGGCAGTGCCCAGGGAGGGACATGAGCTCACCGTTCCTGCAGAGGAAACCCTGTACTAACTAACAAGTGTCACTGAGTCACAACAATCCCCCGGTGGCAGCCAGCAGTGCCCTGCAGGTCTGGGCCACCCAGCCCGGTGGTGCTGATGTGGCCCCAGCTGTCACAGCGTGGCTGGAGCACCTTGGGGTGTGCTGCGTGCTGCGGCCACCTCCTGGGGACATGGCTGCTGCGGGACAGTCCTGCTCCTGCAGTGGGGACCAGCTGCTCGCTGTGCCCTGTGCCCCTGTACTTGTGGCTGCCCCAAGCTCTCCTGCCTCCATCTTGCTCATCCCTCAAAGCAGCAGACACAGGGCAGGGGCAGTATCGTGACCCTTCTAAGTTGGGTGAAGGGAAGCAAAGCACCGTGTGTGGGTGCCATAAGGCTCACAGAATCCCAGCACGGCTGAGGCAGGCAGGGACCTCTGGATCCTTCAGAGACAACCCTGCTCCAGCAGGGCCACCCAGAGCAAGGTGCCCAGGACCACCTGCAGGTAGCCTTTGCAGATCCCCAAGGAGGAGACTCCAGCACCTCTCTGGGCAGCCTGTGCCAGTGCTCGGTCACTGCACAGCACACAAGTGCTGCCTGGTGCTCAGAGGGAGCCTCCTGTGCCCCTGTTTGGGCCCACTGCCTCTGGTCCTGGCACTGGGCACCACCGAAAGGAGCCTGGCTCCGTCCTCTTTGCACCTTCCCATCAGGTATTTACGGGCATTGATGAGGTCCCCCTGAGCGTGCTGTTCTCCAGGCTGAGCAGTCCCATCTCTCTCAGCCTCTCCTCACAGCAGAGGGCTCCAGGCCCTCCAGCACCTCCGTGTCCCTTTGTTGGACTCCCTCCAGTAGCTCCAGGTCTCTCTCCTACTGGGGAGCCCAGCACTGGACACAGGTCTCCAGGTGTGGCCTCGCCAACGCTGAGTGGAGAGGAAGGATCACCTCCCTCCACCTGCTGGCAGCACTTTGGCTAATGCAGCCCAGGATACCATCAGCCTTCTTTGCCCAAGGGCACGCTGCTGGCTCATGGCCAGCTTGGTGCCCACCAGGACCCCCAGGGCCTTCTCTGCCAGGCTGCTTGCCAGCTGGGTGCCCCAGCCTGTCCTGGGAATTCCCTGGAGCCCAGGAACATCCCTGCCCTCGTCTGGTGATCATCTCCCTGTGCTCTGCGCTGGTGAGGCTGCACCTCGAGTGCTGTGTTCAGTTTTGGGCCCCTCACTACAAGAAGGACATTGAGGCCCTGGAGCATGTCCAGAGAAGGGCTGTGAAGCTGGTGAAGGGCCTGGGACACAAGTCCTGTGAGGAGCACCTGAGGGAACTGAGGGTGTTTGGTCTGGAGAAGAGGAGGCTCACAGGGGGGCTTATTGCTCTCTGCAACTGCCTGAAAGGAAATTGTGGGGAGCTGGGGGTTGGCCTCTTCTCACAGGTAACTAGTGATAGGACCAGAAGGAATGGCCTCAAGTTGTGCCAGGAGAGGTTTAGGTTGGAAATTAGCAGACATTTATTCTCAGAAAGAGCAGTCAGACATTGAATGGGTTGCCCAGGGAGGTGGTGGAGTCACCGTCCCTGGGGGTGTTTAAAGAAAGGTTGGACCTGGTGCTTAGGGACATGGGTTAGTGGGTGATGGTGGTGGTAGGGGGATGGTTGGACCAGCTGATCTTGGAGGTCTTTCCCAACCCTAATGATTCTATTATTCTATGATTTTCTGTGGTGTTTGCCCCCTTTGCCCTGTGTTGGGAGAGTGCTGGGAGCCAGAAGAGGAAGGGACAGCACCTACTGCCCACCCCAGGACCTCGGCTCCCCAGAGCACATCCCACTGCTCCCTGGGGACAGTCCTCTTCTTCTGGAGGGGAAGGGCTCCTGACACAATCAGTGTCCTAAAGCACCACTGATGTGACTGTGAGAATACAGAGATGGAGCACCCAGGCCCTGCCCACCACATCTCTGCACATTGAACAGAGAGGAGGACTCAGAGGCCAGCGCTCTGTTCCTGCTGGCTCAGCGAGTCCCACTGCTGTGTGACTGCTTCTCCACAGACATTAGCAGCTGGGCTCGATGATCCTTGTGGGTCCCTTCCAACTCAGGATACTGCTTGATTCTGTGATTTTTATGGCTCTTCTTGGAGCTTTCATCCAGCCAGCCTCCCCTGTGAAGGCCACATGAAGAAGTGAGCCCAGCGCCCGGTGGGGTCACACCAAAACACCCAGAGCCTTCCTGCTTCTGCTCCAGCCCCTCTGTGTCACTGCACATTCAGGAATTACCTGCCAGGCCCCCAGGCTGCAGCCTGGGATGGAGCCCCCAGCCCTGGAATGGGCTCAGGGCCCTTGGTCTGTGGATTTGGGACCAGAGCCCCCTGTCCTTGCTCTGCTCCTGCTGGAGTGGCTTCACGCCATCGGGCATTGTAGTTGCTCTCTCCCTCTGCAGCCCGTGCCATCTGCCAACAATATTAATTATGTTTTTCATCCATTAATCACTAATGACATTAATCATGTTGTCTTCATCCACAGAAGTGTTAAATAGCGGAGGACTGCAGGAACTCACTAAAAACAAACCTCATAAGTGATGGGCCTCTTCACAGCCACTTCTGAGAGCTGACAGTCAGCCAGCTTTTGATTGCTTTTCACGTATGCCATGTGGCTTTTATATTGTTTAGTCTCTAATTGAGATCCGGGGCAGTATTGAATTACCTGTCCCGCAGCTGTGCACTGCATCGGCTGGAACCACACCAGCGAGCTGTCATGTTTGCTGTACGCCGTCCCCCATGCGTGCACGTGCAGTGGCTGCTGCGCTGTCGGCTGTCCATCAGCATCTCACAAATGCAGTCACTTTGCCCAGCCTGTGGCTGCCCTTGACCGGGTCAGGCTGGCAGGAGTGTGACCAGCAGCGTGAAACATGGTCCTCAGCTGGGACACTGAGCTCCTGCACCTCCTGGTGGGAGAGGCTTTCCCTGCCCCCCCATGGTATGGTGGGATGGGGGCTCTGGAGGCTCTGACTCATGGCAGAACCCTCTCCAGCACGAGGCTGGGGGCTGTGACTTTGTCCACCTGAGGCTTGGAAGCCTCTGGAGATGGAGGTCCCCCCTCCCAGCTCTTTTGCTTGTTCTTACACTGGGATCATCTCCAAGAGCCAGTATTGTGTCTTCAGCACAGGAATGAACATGCCAAGTCTTAGCCAAAAAATGCAGAGTCTCAACTTTTCTACCAAGAACAAAGAAATCTTTCTCATGGGCTGCAAAATACTTTCAGTAGGGGATGCTCTCCCTGTTTTCCTTACCACAGTAATGTATAGCTCTCATCATCACATCAAGAACATTTATGCGCATAAGTGATACTTAGTACTGTTTTTCCTCCCCGTGGCTGAGGTCTCTGAGCCCACCTGGGATGGAATGCCAGCCCCTCAGCAGGCAGACACGGCAGGCAGTGCCTCCTGCCAGGTCCCCACACTGCTCCCCGAGGCCTCACACCACTGCGCCTGGAGCCCAGTACCAGCATAGTGCTCGCGGTGGGAGCAGCAAGTGTGGTTTCCCCCCCAAAAACCCCTGACATTTCAAGATTTGGTTTTGTTTGGATTCAGAATGAACCCAAAGCACAGAACTTCTCCCGCCGGCGATTTTTTTTCGGGGATGGGGGGGTTGGCTGCAACGCCCAGGCACAGGGAATTCCTGGGAACGCTGACTTCACGCTACTCCTCTTGCTGCTCTGTCCTCCGGCCAAGGCCCAGGCCAGCCATGGGGGCCGAGGTTCTCATGGAGTGGTGAGCGGAGGCCTGGGGCTTGCAGACTCTCCGGGCTCCTGGGCTGCTGCCCGTGCCCCAGGCAGCTGCTCAGGAGCTGGGGGAGGTGGAGGACGGCCAGGCAGCAGGTCTGGCAGTTTCTTGGCAGAGTTTGACTACAATCAAACCGTCTCCACAAAACATCGCGATGAGCCAGCACATTCCAATGGGGAAATGTCTTGTCTAAGTGTTTCTGACCAACTCTCGTGCGGCGGCTTTCTCACTTTTCCTCCTGGCTGTGTTTCTGAAGGAAAAAGCTCTTCAAGTACACAGCCCTGGCTGGCGATGCTGCAGGTGGGACTGTGCTGTCTCAGCTCCGGGGTCCCACTCCAGGCCCTTCATCTAGGCTCTGACACACCTTGGGAGAACCCTACCAGTGCTGTGCTGAACTGCCCAAGGAGCCCTAAACAGACAAGAGGGGAAGAAGGTGTGGGTGCCTCATGGCTTGAGCAGCCCCACCTTGTAGCTGAGCACTGCAAGGAGCAAACCCTGAGAAGCCAACCACACCAGGCAGCAGGAGACCCCCAGAAGACCCCCTGAGACCTTCAGCACTGCTACCATGGGGGAACTGGATGGGATGGGGCCAGGAGGAGGTGATGTCTCTGAGCCAGGGCAGGTCCGCTGGGGCTGGTGGGAGGTGGTGAGGTGTGGGGACACAGCATGCACATGTGGGGGGCATCTCTAGTGATGGGAGGGTTTGCCCACTGGCCAAACTGTGGGTTTGTGTTTGGTGTGTGTGTCTGGTGGTGCTTTGTAAATGGGGCATGTGGAGCAATGTGAGAGCTGCTCGTGAAACTGGGCACGTGTTCAGTGGCATGGGGATGCTTGTGTGTGCTACCGTGGGTGTGCACATCCACAGGATGGAGCACACCAGCCGTGTGTCCGGGAGTGATGCTGGGCTGGGGAACCACATTCATGTATTGTTCTCCTTTCAGAGATACTTTTTGGGCTGAAAGCGGATTTCCCCACATAGCTGCATGGAGGATGCTGTGCTTAGGATGGTGGTCCTGTTTCCTGCCCTCGGCAAACTGACCCTGACCGGGACGTGTGAGGGGGGATGCGCCCCCCCATAGCCCCCCGCTGCAGGCAGCTGATGAGGTGTGATGTGCTGGGGGCCAGTGGCAGCACGCAGCCTCTCCCTCTGCAGCGCCCTTCCTGCGCGTGCGGCCCGAGTAAAAACACCTGGAGCCAATTTCCAGCCCCAGAAAATAAATAAAAAAAAAGGCGAGGCATTTGAAGCCTCACTCGGTAAACAAGCACGGCGGTTGGGCTGTTTTCTTTTCCCTGGGAAGGAGGAAAAGGCCATGTGCAGGACAGCCCAGGGACACTTGGAGCGAGATGAAGTGTGCGAGGCTGCAAGCAGGACACCTCCGTGCCTGGCCCAGGCAGGGATGCAGGAGGCTTGGACAGAATCGGTCAGTCTGGGACTGGAGCAGCCGGCTCACGGCCGGCCTTATAGTGCTTCGGAGAGCAGGAAGCGCTGTCTCCGTGGCGGTGAAGCCTCCTTCCAGCCCTGGCAAAAGTTCAGCCTGAGGGCCGTCCCCAGCTCAGCATACAGGGAGCCTGCAGGGAGGCCAGGCAGTGCTGAGGCTTGGGGAGCAGGGGACAGTAGGGGTGGAGAGCAGTGCCCATGCATGGGGATACAGCAGGGGCTCATGGGGGACAAACAGGTGACCCGTGATCAGGAGCAAACCCTGCATCGGTGGAGCAATCAGGAGACCACCAGTAAGCCCAGGAGAGGGAACAATGTGCATCTCCTGCACAAGGTCCAGGTGGCACTGAGCACTGGCTTAGAGGAAGGGTGGAGAGTGAAGTTTGCAAGGGGTGGGAGATCCAGCCAAGTGCAGGCCAGCAATGCCAGGGGCAGGCATCAGAAGAGCACAGAAATTGCCTCAAGAACTGATCGCTGCACTTGTGTAAAGTCATGAGCAATGGTGAAAGCAGCAGAACGTGGGAGGGAGGCTGATGCAGAGCAGCTACAGGGAAAGCGAAGGATGGAGAAAGAGTCTGGCAGTCTGCATCCCACTTTTATTCCCAGTTAAATAACAGAGCACATCGTACGAGAGAAAGTCATTAAGTGTCAAGCGCCAGATTTCAGCAGAGCTCAGTGCCAGGTTCCCCGGCGCTCAGCACCACAGCCAGGGCCAGACTTTCCAAAAAGCCAGCTCCTCTTGGAGCTACCACCAGGGCCAGGCTTGCAAAAGAGCTTGGCCGCCCAGGGCTCCAGGGGACTTTTCAGGTCTGGCTCATGGGGATCTGAGCACCCTCCTGGCTCTGCCCTGCAGCAAAACGTGACGGTGGTGTCCCCAGGGAACGCGTGGTGTGCTCAGTGAGAGGACCCCGCTCCCCTCAGGGGCTGGTGCATGCAGCGTGGCTGGTGCCATCTCAGCCCCTGGCCCGGCTGGCTGGGGCTCCTCAAGCAGAAAAGCAACACATCGTGGGTTGTCGGCTTCCTGTGGGAATTTCTAAATGAATAATCACTGTGAACATCGTGAAAAGCATTTTAATAGTCAGAGAATACCATCTGGATGCGCACAAACAAAGGAGGTATAAATCCACCACTGACAGCAAACTGAACTCACTGCTTTTATAAGCAAAAATACTTGCAAATTGTTTCCCAAATTACTTAAGCAAGTCTTTCCTCTAATGAAATTCAGAAAAGATCCTTACCAGAGGCAAACAGCACAATCTGAGCACAACAGAGACATTACACAGAGGGATTAAAACACAGGCAGAATATAATCAAATTACATCCCCTTCGTATGAATGCAGCTCCATGTTTAGAGATAAGAGGAATCCCAAACACTTCTGTAATGGAAGGAAAAAATTTAGAGATGATCTGGGAATGAGGGGAGAGAACAGGCAATGACTGGAACCAGTTTCTGGGGGCATGAAGGCCTCGCAGGGCTCGTAGGAGAGTGTCTGGGGGGCGATGCTACGGCTGCCTCCAGGATCCTCGCAGAGGGGGCTCGGGGAGGGGCTGGAGGGGCGGGAGGCTGCAGATAAGAAGGGGAGAAGCCGGCCAAGTGTGAGGCTGTTGTGCAGGGAGGAGAGAGGTGCTAACAGTGTGGCTGGGCGCTGGCTCCAAGGTGGAACGTTGCATGCAGCACTGGAGAGGCGAGGAAGAGGAGTGCTCTCAGAACAAGCTGGGTTGTCTCCAGCAGAAGAGATGGTGCTCAGGCTCAGACTGGAGGTGCCTGAGCCAGCAGGAGTTGCCCTGTGGCTGCAGAAAGAGCTGGATGTAGAGGCTGTGGGACCTTCAGCTTGTCCTGGCTGGTGACATGCATGGGGCTGTTCTTTCCCTGGATAAAGCATCCGAGTGCTGGAACAGAGGCAGAAGTGCAGACCTTGACCCCAGTGTCCTCGTGTCCTGCAGCCCACCTCTTGACAGCCCGAAGCTGCCACTGAGACAATGGCTTTGCTCAAATCGAGGCTCTGCTGAGAAGGAGCTGGAGGTGGAAGCAGCGATCTGGAGCCAGGGAAAGCCATGTCGAGAACACAGCAACCTTGGGTGCCTGGGAGGTAGAGACATGGCAAAGGGCGTGGGGGGACATCGGCAGGGAGGCCACCTCACGGCAGCGCCTGGAGGGACGAGTGGTGGCATTGCTTTCCTACTGATGCTAGCCTGAGGACAACAGTGGCTCTGCCACACCTGCAGTGATCTTGGAGCTCTGACCAGATTTTAGGATCCTGGCAGATGATGCAGAAACATCTGCTCTTGCTGGCTCTTCCAGATCCATCTCTTGCAGCAATGGGGAGGGTCTTCCAGTGGGGAAAAGCTTTGGGCTGGGGATGAAGGGTCCCACAACATCATGTTGGCCTGCAAACGTACCCCCGTCTCTCTGCTCACTGGAGAAATTATGGTTCAGTAATGCACCCGATGCCCCACAGCCCACCAGCACTGCGGAGCAGAGGGCGTGCTGCTGTGCAGGAGGACAACGAGCCCCACCTGAATTCACCATGCAGGACAGTTGTCTCAGTGACACAAAGGCATATTTATTTATGGTTCTTTCAGGCCAGATTCTGAATGGGAATGGGTACAAGGTTTGTTAGCAAAAAGGTTGCTTGCAAAAGGAAATAGGAAGTGCAGTCTGGTCTCTGCACCATCATGAGATGCCTGGCCGACAACAGGACTCCTCCTGACAGCCGGACACCCCTCCACCAGACAAGGCCCAGGCTCCCTCTGTTGGGATCAGCCTTTTCCTTGTGGCAGACACACCGTGCATGTGAAATGCCTGCCCAGCTGCAACAGCAGGGACACGTGGGCCTCAAGCACGAGGGGTATGTGGCACTGGCTCCCCGAGCTCCCCACCTTCATAGCATGTGCCAAGATTTGCTGCCATATCCTGAGGCTTGGAGATCTTCACAGGTTTCCCTGTGGTTTGAATTTCTCCTTGGAAACGTCAGCTGTACGTGCCTATTGTTCATCCTGTGGACTGCAGCGTGGTCTCAGAGTTGGACTGAGACCATCCTCAGTCTCTTTGGACACATCAGAAAGATTCCAGATGCAGGAACGAAGTGTTTGCCCAGACGTGCTGCCGAGAGCAGGCTGCCCCGCACCAGACCAGGTGCCAGCCTGGGGGTACTGGTGTCCTCAGCTGGCCCTGAGAGCACCATGCCCGTAGTCAGCAGCATGACCAACAACTGAACCCCTGTGTGGGTAATGGGACAAGGGGTGTCACCAGCAGAGGGGCATCGGAGGAGCTGCCTGTTTCCTTGCAGCCACTTTGCTAACATGCCCCTAAGCCTCTCCCAGCCAGAAAAAGCATTAGTCACTGTTACAAAGTCAGGATGAGCAGACAGAAATAACACGTGCATTCGTCTAGAGCACATCCATGCCAGGCAAAATATTGTGGCCGGGACTGTGCTGTACTTGTGCTGGGGAATGGGCAGAGGAAATGGCCTGTCTGACATGGGGCAAGGCTTGCAGTGGGTTGCACTTGTGACCAGCAGAGCTGACTTGGGACCTTCACAGGTCTGCAGAGGTTGACCTGAAAGGGGGGGCTGAAGAAGTGGTTTAGCTCCCAGGAACACAATGAGAGGAAGAAAGGTTTGTGGGGGCAGTGCTGTGCCTTTACAAAATCCCAGCATGGCTGAGGCAGGCAGGGACCTCTGGATCCTTCAGAGACAACCCTGCTCCAGCAGGGCCACCCAGAGCAGGGTGCCCAGGACCACCTGCAGGTGGCCTTTGAAGATCCCCAAGGAGGAGACTCCAGCACCTCTCTGGGCAGCTTGTGCCAGTGCTCGGTCACTGCACAGCACACAAGTGCTGCCTGGTGCTCAGAGGGAGCCTCCTGTGCCCCTGTTTGGGCCCACTGCCTCTGGTCCTGGCACTGGGCACCACCGAAAGGAGCCTGGCTCCGTCCTCTTTGCACCTTCCCATCAGGTATTTACGGACATTGATGAGGTCCCCCTGAGCGTGCTCTTCTCCAGGCTGAGCAGTCCCATCTCTCTCAGCCTCTCCTCACAGCAGAAGGCTCCAGGCCCTCCAGCACCTCCGTGTCCCTTTGTTGGACTCTCTCCAGTAGCTCCAGGTCTCTCTCTTACTGGGGACCCCAGCACCGGCCACTGCTCACAATTCCCAGCTGTCAGAGGCTATCCAGGCTGTCTGAACAAGGCCAACCATGGTGGAGACTTTGGAGGGGACTGCAGCTTCAGCCCTCACCCACCCCATCCCTCATCATCCCTCTCCATGACACCAACAGCCTCCCCCATAACGATGTTCCAAGGGAGGCTCCTGCCCCCTAACACGGCCCGTCCGCCTGCTTCAGCATCACTGCAGAGCAGCAAGGTCTCTGGGAGCGAGATGAGCCAGGGCTTGGATGCCGGCCGATGAGGGGAGAGGATGAAGGGAGATCTGAAGTCGGCGTGCGAAAAAGGAGAAGGGCGAGGATGCGGCCGGGTGCTGATGACGGGGGTGGCTGCAGACAGTATCACAGCAATGTGCTGGCATGGAGCAAGGGCTAGGCTGAAGTCAAACATAGGGAACATTTCTACCAGACGGGACAATTACACACTGAGGTTGCTTGCCAGTGAGGCCCCATCACGAGTGGAATAGATCCCATAAGATACTTCTAAGTTTAGAGTAAAGGAGCCCTCTCCAATAGCAGAGGATGAGAGACGGAGAGCTAAAGCCCGCACGTCGCCGCCAAACCACACTCCCTGGAGAAACACACACGAACGGCTCTTGCAACACTCGAGTTACGGCTGAGACACACATTCCAGCCGAAACCCCTATTTTCAGTTGTTTATACAT